TAAGCCAAACGATAGGGACCCGTGTTTATTCAGCCGCTAATTAGAACTTCTACAGTATATCGCAAGCTGATTGTTGAATGGGACTCGGTGCAAAATCGGCGAGTCATGCGTGATGAGTTCAACAAGAGTGACGTGTTTAGAAAAAGGGAGGCTTGCAGCCCATATCAGTAAAAAAAATTAAAATGAGAAGTGCATGAAAGTGAACACTAACAAACTTTAGTACGGGAGAAAACCCTTCCAGTCCATGAGACTCGAGGGGGGTATATCCCTCGACCCTCGTTTCGTCAAATATCATGCAATTGCTATGAAAATTGTTTATAGCACTTGACAGCATTAATAGTTTAATACAATATGTGTCATAAAAAAAACATAAACATGACTCACACTTACTCCCTCTTATCATCTCTTCTACACATACCAAATAAAAAACTAAAATACCTTTTACTTTTTTCAAATATCAATACAATTGTCTCCCACTATCTAGTCCTAAGGCCAGTCCCAACCCAATAACTAGGATGTGTCGATAGCATTAAATAATTTACCACTTAGAATGAAAGATGATGTGCCAAGTGAATAAATAAGGAAAGAGAAGAAACCAGGACTTGCATGAGACATGGTTTCACACAACATTTAAGATATCATATGAGATAAGTAGTATAGAATTTAAGTATGAAACAATGGTGTTTGTATTGAAAGAGTAGTGTCTAATACTAGTTTCTTGATGATGTGGAGTTTATGAAAACTATGTCTAGTGTCTTGGGTTAGGATTGGTATAATATATTTATCTCTTACTTTCATAAAACCCGATGCAATGATTGTTTAAAAGATGCGGTTATTTTGGAATAAACAAAAACAATCAAAAGATAAATATATTTTGGGATGGAGGGATATATATATATATTATATTTTGAAAAGGACAAATCTAACATATGAGCATATCACACTCAAATTTGTTCCTTTTCTTCTCTTACAGTACATAGAGCAACTTTAGTGACAAATATTACTCTCTCCATCTATCTTTGATAGTCATATTTCTAAATCTGAAAAATTTATTTTTGATAGGCATATTTCAATCCAACAACCTATCATCTTAATGACTTTCTCAAATTTAATGCGTGACTCTCCATTCTTCCACACAAGATTGGTTACATGGGCATCGAGAAATGTAAATATTAACGAATCGCTTGTTTACGAGGAATGACTAGTGGTATATTTAAATGGATGATAAGTAGAATTGCTTATTCTTGGTCTGTGTGCCAAGATAAAATATTACTATCCAAAGTAAATGGAGGGAGTACTAAACATAGTATTGTCATTTGAAAAGTTTTTTTCATAGCAATAAATCATCTATATCGTGTATTCAAGAAGTAAAAGCATGTAATGACCATATTTTTCAGATATTAGAATCTATTATCATACTATCACAAGTATTTCATTTGAAGGCCATATGTTTAATAATACTTCATCCATTCCAAATTGATCTACATATTTCATAGGTACACCAAGACCAAGAAAAGCTAATAACTTTCCCATACTATATTTACTCTAGCAACAAACTCAATGTATGTACCATCCCCACTATTTCTTAGCCAATAGCAAATCAAGATATTGCATGTGGGTTATAAATACTTGTGTACATGGATGCATGCATCAATGTCCATTTACTCTAATGCACAAATAACGAATAGACTTAATAAATGAATACAAATATGTAGATCATTTAGGAATAACCTCAAAAAAAACTATATATAGATCAATTTGAAATGGAGGGAGTATAAGCTATCATTTTAGTGGTTCAAATATGCTCCTAGGTATAACCTTTTCTCTTACTAGCAAAAGGACCATGTATTGCAACGGATGTTATAGAGATAAAAATTTCAGCAAAAAATACAATTTTATTGCATAGTTAGTTAATTAGATATATAATGCCATGTCCGAAGCAAAAACGTGCATTCACATGCGTTGATCTTATAGCCCCATATGTCAGCTTGTGAAGTTGGAATCAATTCGAACACCACCACTAACATTATCATTTAAAATAATATAAAATAGCATAGGTATTTTTTTTTCTTCTCTTCCTTAACTCTTGGAGCACGCATAAACCTAGCTCGTCTTCATGCTCTTTCCTGAGAACCCACTTTCGTTATTCTCTTTTGCCTCATTTGCATCTGCAAAAACATGTCATAAACATACTGTAAAATTCTACGTTGCAATTTCTTTGAACAATATCTTTTATGTGAATAATGCAATTAAGATGTTATCTTCACGTTTAATGCTTATTATCATGATTATGGATACCATATAACTAATAGTAATCGACTAAGTTAGACGGGGCCCACTATATACCAAGTTTTATATGGAATTATACCTTATATATAGAAGAAGTTCCGGATAAGGAATGATAAATAAAGTTCTATATGAAAACTATAAGTAATACTCGGATTGTATTCATATTAATTGGTCTCCCTAGTTCTAATTGGACAAGGGAACATCCCCTAGGAGGGGAGGGGACACACAAGTTAGAACAAACCAATACGCCGCCAGACATCGACATCAGAGATAAGCCTAGACAAACCCAATCTAGTGCTTACAGAGGCCGACAAGAGGGATCTAGCGCCATCTCCGATCTCGATGAGTTCGTACTCGAGGAGAAAGACTACCCTGTCATCGAATACATGTTGGTGATCTATGCCACCAAGTCGATGATAGTTAGATAGGTTATCCCAATTATTGTACTTGTGTGATTATGAAGAATAAAAGCAACATCGGCTTCGGTTAACAAGAGTAGGGCTATTACCTGTCAGATAAGGCGCCCAAATCTGTATAAAATCCTTGTCTCCATCTCTTTTATCTCAATCTCGCATATACCTTGGTACCAACGATCTCCATACCATGTATAGTCGTGACCTAAAAAATCGACACTTATCTCTATCAAATAAACATAACTATCATTGACATAAAAAAGCCTTTTTAACGCAGTATAAATAAAATGTGACAAAGTTATTTGAATTATTATTTTTAACTCTTATGCATAAGCCGTATATATATATACTACTTAAAATATTTTAATAGTGGTGGTGTCCATTTCCACACCCCTACCACTAACATCTAGGCCCCACAAGCTATACTATTCGATCACCTTTCAACAGGTTCTCCCAATTTCACTATTGATTCCCTCCAAATTTTAAATTCACTTACTTGTTCAACAAAAAAATTATACTATTACTTAAACTAATAAGTACTTATTAACTAATTTACTAAGCTACAAACTCAATTTGTTTTTCCATTGCAACGCACGAGCTATAGGCTAGTATAGTAATAAACACTAGCGCAAGTAGTATTCGTGCAATATATATTTATTGTACATTTTGTACTTTATACACACACTCTCTAGAAAAAAATTGCCCATGTGTTGCAACGTGTGAAGACCATTTTAATCTTATTATTGTTATACGGTTTAGCCAGGGTGAATTTACTCTAGAAACTCGCTTGAATTTTCTTTTTAGAAAATCATGAGTTGCGATTAGGAGTTGGACTTTCGTCTCAAGTTAGCATGTGAGTGTTTTAATGATATTTCTTATACGACTTCTTTTATATTTTCAAAAGCGAACAAATATAAAAAAGAATGACTCAAACACAAATCTATGGACCTGTTCGGCTGCTTGTTACAGTAGCTGCTAGGCAGCTGAAGGCAACTAGTCGCTAGTTCTTTCGCTGCATCCACAAGCAGCAGCTTGGCTGTGAAGAAGGGCTGTAACGTGCAGCGGAACAGACCCTATATTTCCAAAAGCGAACGAAATTAAAAACCGACTCAAACAAGAATAACGTATCAATGTACCGACAAAAACATCTTCAATTTTTTATAATAGTAGATATATATATATCGCAAACTAAGCTACACTCGGTTAGAATATGTGTTGGTATTTACGACTAATTATTTTTATTAATGAAGTGATATGTGAACAATAAGATATCTAATTATCTATGGTTGTTGAACGTGCCAATAAAGATAGAATGTTTATGTGTGTTTATAGGACTATATGCAGTGTTTGATAGTTGAACGAGAAGGGAAAAACATTACTTTTCGCCCGCACACTTTCCGAGCTATTAAACGGTATATTTCTTTAAAAAATAACTTTCTATGAAAAGGTTACTTTAAAAATCATATTAATTCTTTTTTCAAGATTAAAATAATTAATACTTAACTAATTGCGAACTAATAGTTTACATCGTTTTACTTATTTTCTTAATCTTTTCTATTCCTCTCTTCACAAATACAGCCGGCTGCACGCGTGTTTACAAGTGAATGCGTCTATTTTACGCTTTGGAAAAAAAATATCAAGGGGAGTGACATGCCATTTCTATTTACTCCTATCAACTCTCATCAATGATCCAACACACGCAGATCACAAGTTGCAACTTTGCGGGCCGCCTGCCGTGCAGGGCGGAAAAGCAGCCGCGGTGGCCGTGTACCGCGCAACTCCACGCTACGCGAGACAGCCTGCATGCGTGCCCGTTTCCCGGCCACTCGCTGGACGCGGGTGCGTACCTCGCGGAGTTAGATGGGGCGCCATTAGTAAATGCGACACAGGCCACTCTGTCACGTCCCTATCCCTTTCCCCGTCCCCGGGTCAGGTACCCGATCCTGCCGCTGCTCCATCATCCGCGATCCACCGCGGCGTGCCCTCCGTTCCACTAGTGCTCGCTCCTTTCCGTAGGATTTTGATTTTTTCTTGCCCTGCTTGTTCATTTATCTTATTCAAAATATTTTATAATTATTATTTATTTTATTTTAACTTACTTTATTATCTAAAATACTTTAAATATAACTTTTCGTTTTTTTATTTATACAAATTTTTTTAATAAGACAAGTGGTCAAACGATGCAAGAAAAACTATCACCGAATGGAAGGAGTAGTATTTTGAGTCGCCGTCACCGTCGGCTCCCTCATACAGTCTCCCGCGCCCCCGCCGCGCGAGCTATATATCCGCTGCGCTGCGCGCGCCATGCTCCGTGGCGAGTTGCCTAGCTACCACCACCAACAGTACTACTTCCTCCGGAGCGCGGTGCTCGATCTCGATCGCGAAATGGACCCGTACAAGTACCTCAACATCCGGTTCAACCCCGACGGCTCGCTCACCCGCAACGGCGCGGCCAGGCTCCTCCCGCCGGCGCCGGCGGGGGAGCCCGTCGACGGGGTCAACGGGCCGGCGCGCCGCATTGTGCACTCCAACGACGCGCCACTCAACGACGCCAACGGCACCACCGTCCGCCTCTTCGTGCCGTCCGGCCCATGCGTCGGGGCCGACGGCGGAGGCAGGCTGCCGCTGGTGCTGTACTTCCACGGCGGCGGGTACGTCCTCTTCCGCGCGGCGTCCGAGCCGTTCCACAACACCTGCACGGCCCTCGCGGCCACCATCCCCGCGGTCGTTGCCTCCGTCGACTACCGCCTCGCGCCCGAGCACCGCCTCCCCGCCGCGTTCGAGGACGCCGCCGACGCGGTCCGGTGGGTGCGCTCGTACGCCGCGGGCTGCAGGCCCCTGTTCCTGATGGGCAGCCACGCCGGCGCGAGCATCGCGTTCCGCGCGGCGCTGGCGGCGGTGGACGAGGGCGTGGAGCTGCGTGGGCTGATCCTCAACCAGCCGCACCACGGCGGCGTGAAGCGTACGGCCGCGGAGGAGTCGTCGGTGGACGACCGCGTGCTGCCGCTCCCGGCGAACGACCTGCTCTGGGAGCTCGCGCTGCCGCTGGGCGCCGACCGCGACCACGAGTACTGCAACCCGGAGACCATGCTCGCCGGCGTGGACGCCGCGCGGCTGCGGAGGCTGCCGCCCTGCCTGGTGCTCGGCCGGATGAAGGACCCGCCGCGTGACCGGCAGAGGACGCTGGTGGAGGCACTCCAGAAAGCCGGTGTCACCGTGGAAGCAAAGCTCGACGGCGCCGGGTACCACGCGATGGAGCTGTTCAAGGAGGACCGCGCCGCGGAGTTCATCGCGCAGGTCACCGACTTCGTCCGCCGCCACACCGGCGCCGGCAGCGACGTACACGCCGGAAGGAGCAGGCTGTGATCGATCGAGAGGAGGAGACCATGCTATTGACTGCAACTACCACCACTATGATATTGGTACTACTGTACTGGACTACTGGTGGTGGTTGGTTGCTGCCATGGCATTATCTACCGAGAGTATCGACAATTCTCGAAGTATACATACTCTCTCCGTTTCACGATATAAGACTTTTTAGTATTGTCCATATACATATATATGTGTTAGATTTATTAGCATATAAATAAATATTAACAATACTATAAAATTTTATACTGTAAAATGGAGGAAGTAACACATTGGCAATCATATCAGCATCAGCATTAGATTGGGAGAGTGACGAGCGATGGACTCTCCATAGCCAAGTACACTCCCTATAGTGACGAAACGACCTCACGACCTCTTATCTTTGCTTTCTGGATGGGCGGTTGTCACGTTGGCTTTTCTTCTTTTTTTTCTCCACTGAGTTTTTTCCCTTTTTACTTGGTAGTACCTTTTTACTTACCGGCAAATCGGGTTGTTTGGCATGTGTTCACTGTCAAAAGTTCCGGGCGAATAAGCTTCGGATCTAATCTTTACCGCTTCTGACCCCACAAGGCGGATGTATAATATTGTAACATGGTAGAAATTATTCTATACTTTGTCATTTGAGATTTCATCATGTACCAATAATAACAAACTTACCACAAATTCGCAAAAAGAAATGCTTTTGTACGCTTTAAATTCTGCCGTCTCCCCGTGGTCTACACGGCTGCACCCTCCCACCCAAACCTAATCCAAGCTGCGTGCGCCGGTCGTAACCTAGAGTTTCACCTGCATGCTCTCACCCGGTGTTTCAGTCTATACGTTAAAAATTACAGGTACGTCGAAGACTTTGATTCTTTGAAGATGGCACAACTTCTCAATCTCAAGCGAAGGTTGAAACACCGCTTTATGCAGACTGCATGATGGGGAATGATAGTAGTATTAAAGTATTAGGTCACGGGTAATTGACTATAGCGCTAAGCCGCCTTTGTAGGAATACCTCATATTTTTCCCCAGGGCCCAGGTAGGCAGACACAGCGTGACGACGCAACCCACCAACTGTAGATATGGCATCATCCGACATCAGGTAGAAAAATAATACTCTCTGTGTTTTATATCATATAAGTTCATTTTGATTTTTTTTTCTTTGTTAAATTTCTTTAGATTTGACTAAACTTATAAAAAAATTAGCAACATCTACAACATTAAATTAGTTTCATTAAATGCAACATAAAATATATTTTGATAGTATAGTTGTTTGTTTTGTGTTGAAAATACTACTATATTTATTTTATAAACTTGGTCAAACTTAAAAAGAGTTTGACTATTAAAAAAATCAAATCAACTTATAATATGAAATAAATGGTGTAATAAGTATATAAAATGCTTAAATATGTGTTTTTAATGGTTTAAAAGTTAATGTTGAAAAATAAATCATTATGAGAAAACCTTAAAACTAACTTAAAGTTAAGTTTTTAAATTCATAAATGAACGATAACAACGAGTGATAATGACCAGTAACACCAGGAATCGATCGGCAACGTTTGTATTATTGTGTAGATGTCATCTCCGACTGTTGCGAGGTCAATCTGCAGCTTAATCCTGCTATTAAGACGCGCAGGGCCAGCAGCTCAGCTCAGCTCAGCTGGCGAGTGTATTGTGTAGCGTCAAGCGCGTACAGCGCTCTCCACCAGGCCACCACCAGACGCCCAGCTTGGAGAAAACGCACGCGCAAGCAGCCTGATCAGCCGACAAGCGTAGTTTGGTAGCTGCTGCTTTCGTGCACTGTTCGAGCGTCTCATCTCAATTCTCAAGCATGTCCACTCGATCAACTTGCAGCAGCTGGCTTGGCTGGATCGATCCATATGTTTAATGGCTTTCACACTCTGTTAGTACTGAGAGCACCGTTGGGAGAAGACTTGTTAACCACAATAAAGACAAACAAGGACGCTTAACTAGCGCACATGGTAGTTAAAGAGACCAATAATGCCGCTTAATTTAGCGTATGGTAGTTAAAGAGAGATCCCGTATAACACAAGTTGAGCCGTTCCATTAGACATTGGTTGCTGACTTGCTTGCAAGACTCAAGTCGATAGCTTGTTCCTTCAGAAAATGGATGATTCGATCCGCCAAGCTCTATCAGAGTATCAGATGTGTACTCTGTGTATTATTGCCCGCTTCGACCGTGATAAATGTGTTTAAATATACTGTATACTACTACCAACTACCAAGGCGGAAAACTACTACCCCGCCCCATATAAGTTATTGAAACATACTTTTTTTTCTGGAGTTACTAAAACATGCTTCCTTCGTCCCATATAAAATTTAAAAGCTGAAAGCAGGCTACATTTAAATTCATAATCAGAAATTAGTTTTTTATGAGGTGGAGGAAGTTAATGTTTGAAGAAAATTCACTTAAACCATTTTAGTCACGGTGTGAGTGCATGTGCGTCTTCCATATAATCGAGCAAAAAAAAAAAGCATTTCCTCACCTTCATTCATCTTTTATAGAAGGGAAAATTACAAAACCACCCCATAAGTCACTTGAATTTTGACATTCCTACTTAATTTTGTTACAAAAATCACCCTAGTCGACACGTGCTTAACCAAATCATTTTGTTATCGCTATTGTAGGAAGACTGCAAGCTAAGTTAGCCGAATTATGAAGTACTTGCATTAGACTTATTCTTCATATTTCATTATTTTTTTTTCATATAGAGAAACTCAACATGACAATGTTCCAGCTCTCATGAACGACTATATTTGTGAAATAACAAAAAAAATCAAGACTATACTCTAGACATATTTAATTTTTGTAAATACCACTATTAACTCATAATTTAAGAAAACATGTTGATCGGGTTAATCACGTGCGCACCAGGGTAGTTTTGTAACAAAATTAAATAGGAATGAGCATTTGTAATAAGATGATATAGGATAAAATATCCTATAATCCTAGCAAATTTCCCTTTATGGAGCACACAATATCCTATAATTCTTGCAAATTTCTTTCATGCTCGGGCCAAGATGCGAAATGCCGCCCAGGCTTGCGCGACCGCAAAAGGAAAAAGTACACCGAAGGCCCCTCAACTTGTTATCACGTTATAAATTTGTCCTTGAACCACAAAACTGGATACAACGCATTCCCCAACTTACAAACCAGTGCAAACTAGGTCCCTCGACGGTTTTGACTCCGGTTTTGTCCGATGTGGTAGCTGACTCAGCGTGGGCCCCACCCATCAGCCTCTTCTTCCCCCCCCTCTCCACACTTCATCTCTCCTCCTTTTCCTAGCGACCGGTAGCGGGGGAGAGGAGCTGGGCACGGCGGGTGAGGATGGGCGACCGCCCGACGGAGAGGAGCTAGACACGGAAGGCCGATGCGGCGGGCGTGGGCGGCGGTCGGCGGGAGAGGAGCTGGGTGGTGGTGCTCAGGCGAGGGCGGTGGCGTCACTGAGCTCGACCGGCCGTCCCCATCTTCTCGACGGCGACGCATGGAGAGAAGGGCCGGCAGGCTGGTGCGCGGCTGTGGGCGACGTTGTCACCGAGCTCAACCGGTCGCACGACAGAGAGGAGCTGGGCGTGGAAGACCGGTGCGGCGGGCACGGGCGGCGGCCGGCTGGGGAGGAGCTGGGTGGTGGCGCTCAGGCACGAGCGGCGATGTCACCAAGCTCGACCGGCCGTCCCCATCTTCTCGATGATGGGGCATGGGGAGAAGGGCCGGCAGGCCGGTGCGCGCGGCGTCGTCACCGAGCTCGACCAGCCATCCCCATTTTCTCACCAAGGAACACGCAAGAGGGGCGGTCATTGTCGCCGGTGAGCTCGCGGGAGCTTGGGGAGTCTGGCGATGGTGGCTTGCCTCGACCTCCCGACGAGCTAGGCACCATCGCGGCGCCACGATCCGCGGCTCTTTCGCCTGGTTGGAGTCGAAGCTGGAGCGGGCGCGACCGCTGGAGGGGACCGCTCCACATCGGTGTCGGTGTCCAGCGGCCATGGTGATGATGGCGGCGGGCGTCCGTCAGCGCCCGCACAGGAGGAGCTGGCGGCTCTGGTGGCAGAGAGTGCGAGGAACCACCGCCCGTGTGTCGCTCCTCCCTGCCCGCCCTGCGCAGCTCCTCCCACCGCCGCCTGTGCCCGCCTCCCGCGCCCAGCTAGCCAGCCGCTCCCTCGCTGTCCGCCGCCTGTGCTTGCTGCCCGCGCCCAAGCTAGCCAGCTGCTCCCCTGCCGTCCGCCGCCCACACCTAGCTGCTCCCCCCCTCCCCCGCCGCCCGTGTATAGGAGAGGAGAGGAGAGATGAAGAGAGGAAAGAGGAAGAAGAGGCTGACGGGTGGGGCTCACATGGGTCCCACTCTAAGTCAGCTGCTACATTGGACAAAACAGAGTCAAAATCACCGAGGGATCAGTTTGCACTGATTTTATAAGTTGGAGGATGCGTTGTATCCGGTTTGGTTTTGTGGTTCAAGGACGATTTTATATCTCGATGACAAGTTGAGGGACCTTCAGCGTACTTTTTCCACTGCAAAATGGAAGCCCGTGTATGGAACACGGTCCGGCCCAGCCCAGCACGGTCCACTACCTTGTCGCCGCGCGGGGCACCGGTCAGATCAGTTTGACTCCGTTTCCGTCCCCACCAAACTGAGACAGACTCGGAGCCCCTCCCCCCTTCTAGCTAACCGGCGCCACGTCACGCCAGTACTCCACCGCGCCTCGGCCTCGGCCTCGCTCTCGTCGCCTCCCCCGCTCCGCCCAAAACGGAACCGAACCAAACCAAAACCCTACGAAGAGGGGGAGAGCAGAGCAGCAGCGGCGGCGGCGGCGAAGGCGGAGAGAGCGCGCTCGGCGCACGGCATGGGTGTCTCCGCCGACGGCCTCGTGCTCAAGGCGGCGTGCGAGCGCTGCGGCTCGTCGTCGGACCTCCACGGCACGGGGTGCCGCCACGCCACCCTCTGCGTCTCCTGCGGCAGCGCCATGGCTCGCTCCGGCGATTGCTGCCCCGTCTGCGCCGCCCCCATCGCCAGCCTCATCCGGGTAATGCACTACTGCTTAGTACTCCCCGTGCGCCGGCGACCCTAGGGCTTTTGGTTCCGTGCGCGTCGGCATTGTCTCCGCCGCCGCTTGGCTGTTTTGGGAATTGCTTGCCCTTCCCCTGAAGTTTTGATGTTCCCGTTGCTCGTGCGCAGGAGTACAATGTCCTGGTGGATACCACCGGAGAGAAGCAATATACGATCGGCAAATTCACCACCGGTGTGCCGCCCTTCTCCGATAGGGAGAATGCGGGGAGCCGCAGCTGGTCTCTTCATCCCGAGGGACAGCAAGGACGGCAACCTACCGGCAATATATGGGTACTACTTAATTCGTTATCATGGATGATCATCATAGTTTTTTTTTTCCATCTGCATAACACGATAAATTCGAAGCAACAAGGAGCGAAGCAATAAATATCTAAGATCATTGATTGGTCGCATGCTATTAGATGGCCTTAATGGCACAAACTTTAAATCGCTTATCTCATGGAAAATGTACATGTAAAGAGACCTATCTGCAATAAATTGTTTTCATTGACTGATAGAAACTCAAGAACTTAACCCTGCCTTTTGCTTTTGATCCTCTTAACGTGTGGCACGCATATTTGTCAAATAACAGGAGAATTGCAGCAACAGAAAGTCATGTATTTTGGAAGATGATACAGGTGACTATCAGTACCAAGGTCAAATTCAGGGCTTACAATCTGCAGCCTCGACATATTATTTGTTGATGATGCATGGCAAGGATGTACACGCTGTTCCCGCTGATTCCTGGTACTCACGATATATATGTTGATTTATTTTCCACTTCATTTTCAACAATAATCACCACCAAAATCTTTTTGACAAGGAATAGCAATACTGTGAGCCCCATCAAACAGGAATCACTCTTTTAATGCTTGCATATTTGGTATGCCTTTACAGGTATAACTTCAGTAAAATTTCACAGTACAAACAGCTGACTTTGGAAGAAGCTGAAGAGAAGATGAGCAGGAGGAGAAGCACAGCAACTGGGTATGGACGGTGGATGATGAAGGCGGCTACAAATGGAGCTGCTGCTTTTAGTTCAGATGTGACGCAGCTCGATGATGCTAATGAAGGAGAAACAGATCAGGTTCACCTGAAGAAAGGCAACAAGAATGGGGATGAAAATAAATCTGATAAAGGCAGTGGGGAAGAAAGAGCGCATGTGCCTATGACAAAGGGTAGGGAGGAGGAAGGTAGTAAAGACAGAGACTTTGATTTGGATGATGAAATTGAAAAGGGTAAGCTGGCTAGATACTATTCTTTTTTTTTATAAATTATGTATCATAAGGACATTGTTATTTCTATTTATTCCAAATAGTTATTAATTGTTACGTATAATAAAGTAAACCATTACTGTAAATCAATGCATGTATGTTAGCCCTTTAATGGGCTTCTGAAGTTCTTTAGCTGGACCCTGCTATTTATCAGGTGATGATTGGGAACATGAAGAGATCTTTACTGATGATGATGAAGCTGTGGACGTTGACCCAGAGGAAGGAGGTGATTTAGCTGATCCTGAAATCCCTGCTCCACCAGAAATTAAGCAGGTGTGGACAGAAATAGATGCACTTGTGCTCATACTTATCATTTTTTTTTCGGGGATCATACTTATCAGTCAACATGGCAATATGGCATTCGTGCAATATCCTGCTAGTACACCATTTTGTGGCTTACAGTTGCTGATGCATTTACCACAGTATTGCTAATACATTTTCAAATATGAACTTGTGACTACTCATAGGATGATAATGAGAAACATGGAGGGGTAGGCCTGAGCAAATCTGGTAAGGAACTAAAGAAGTTGCTCCGCCGTGCCGCGGGACAAAACGAGTCTGATGATGACGATGAAGACACGGATGTAATAATTTTTAATCATTGTTCCTGTTGAAAATCTTCATATAATATGCTTTTGTGGAATATATGTTATGCTTACAGTTGTTTCATCTAAACAGGAAGATGAGTCACCATCGCCAGTACTTGCTCCGAAACAGCAGGATCAACTCAAAAGTGAACCACAGGAAGACAACCATTCTAAACCAACAGTTCTCGGACATCCTTATAGCACTCCACATGTTTCCAAATCCAATCAAAAGAGGAGACAAAGGGGTGATGATTCAAAAACTTGTGCTACCCCTAAAAAGCCGAAGATAGAGCCTGTAAGTTACTTCATTTCACTCAAAACATGTGAACGAAGTTTTTAACCATTTAATTACATTGCACTGAATTGTTTCTCTAATGATATATTTGGTACAGGATACCAAGAAGATAGTCGTGAAGGAGGAGACCTCGTGTTCCTTGGAACCAACTTCAGAACCATTTGCCTCAGCGAGAAGTGATACAAATGTATCTCCTATTACAGTGGAGGAAATCAGGGTGGTACTTCGTTTATATGCACCTATCGCAATGCGAGATTTTTCAAAAGATTTTATGCCCAGATTTTCGCCTCGACTAAGAAGTCCAGAGGTAGGATGTTTTATCTTTCTGATTTGTTCTGTTCTGGACTGTTACATCTAGTAATCCTTTTATACAAATACAGTACTGAGCATGACGTCATATTCTAACTGCACGTTTTGGAATTCAAGGTTTTATTTTTTTGGCCTTGAATTTATCAAATGCTACTTGAGTTTCTTGATATCTTTCTTCGTGACACACACATCACATAAAGGCACTGTATGGAGCACATACTTTTTTTTGTTGATTACTACTCTCTCCAGTAATAAATATTTAGCACAATTGATCTTGACCCTGAAGTTTAACCATTCTTATTACATTTTATTTTATAATTACATTTATTTTGTTGGGACTTGTTTTAATAAAATATTAAAAGGTACTTCAAACATGACTTATATTTTTGCAAATTCACATTAAATTTTTGAATAAGACAAATGATCAAACTTTATGGTTAAAGTCAACCATGTCAAATATTTATGACCGGAGGGAGTAAGAGTCCATAGTCCGCATTTCTGTTATTGTGTCAAATACTTTGTTGTCAATGCCCTGTTACAGTCATTACACTTCCCAAAAATCAATGCATGGGCAAAATGTTGATGTCTTGGTTATTCTTCTTGTACTGCAGGACAGGGAAGTTTTTCTCGCCAATCTGAGGAAAATCTCACACCTGCAGAAGATCAATGGCCAGAAGTACATCATCCTTCTAGAGGAATATAAATAAAATGACAAAACCTGCAGAGTTGTGTATGCTGTTATGCTCCCCTTGGCTCGAGCTTAGCATGCCTGCCCTTCTATCCTGAAAATTAGTAGATGCTTGCAGTTGCAGAACGTGACAGGCTTAACACATATTCTTGATTGACCTCATATTTTTCATACTAGTATACCCCCTTGTAAGTTGTAACAACAAATGATAGTTTGTCATACTATTAGCAAATGATAGTTTGTCATACTATTGTTTTGTCGTGCTGAATAGCTCTGATGGGCAATAATCTGCTTGATCAGGTTTAATGTTTAATTTTCGCTCATGCTAAATTTCTTCACTGCCGTTCTCCCCCTGAGCCGGGTAGCGACAGCAGTATTAAGAAACAGACTACTGGGACATAATGCGGCTTTCTCCAGTGCATTATAAATTGCCCCAAAGGTGTCCATCCAAAGCTCTCCAAGCTTTCGTTGGTCAAAATCATCCTTAGATAACATCAATTAGCAGAAATTAGCCTCTCGGATAGTATTTTCTAGTGAGTGCTAATGTGCTTCATTTCATACCCGACTGCAGGTCGAATCAAACAAAATACTTTTTCTTACTTTTGAGATTTATTTTCCCATTGAACATAGCCTACATCTAGGTTTGATGTCCATTGGCTGGACTTATTGACGTCTGACATTTTTAACCTGAAGTGAACTTCCGAGGACTTAATTAGGCATTTGAAACGTCTAAGATGTTTGGGGGACCGATCAAAGTCTTCCACGTAGGGATAAAAATAGAGTGGATAGTTTTATGCTTAGTTACTACTCCAGCTACTAGCTTACCACAGTACATCTTTTAAATTGCTAACTGTATGTTTCGTGAAAAAACTTCTTATATGCTCCTTCCGTTTTATATTATTTGTCGTTCTAGCAAATCTCACTCAAACCAAGGAGATATGGCAGATTACATGGTTACCCCTCATTAAATACATCTCCACTGATTAAATACATCTCAATTATTTTTTTCAAAGAACATAAGCCAATGAGAAAGATAAAAGTGCATTGATGAAGGGTAGAAAGAAAGATCACCCCTAAAAGTGCTTTGGAATGTAGAAACAACAGGTATTAAAATGTAAAGGGGCGTAAATGTTAAGACGACAAGTACTCCCTCTATTCCAAAATATAAGGCATAACCACCTCTAAACCAAAGACCAAGAAATAATTATTATCATCTTAATAAATACAATACATACATCCAATAGAATTAGAGAGCATAAGAGTGTAGGATTTTAAAAAGTAATAATTTATTGGAGAGGTGGTCATAGTTAATTGTCTACATGCACGCATGCCTTATATTATGGAACATCTAAAAAAAGTGGTTGTGCCTTATATTATGGAATGGAGGGGGTAATATGAAATGGAGGGAGTAAACTTTTTATAAAAAAATCACATAAATTTAACTTCAAGTTTATAATAATTAATACTTAATTAATAATGTGCTAATGGCTTATCTCGCTTCGGGTGCTGAAGCCTGAACCTCTTAAAAGAACACAATCTTAGTCCGTTTCGAAGAAAAACAAATGCGGATATAATTCAGATTAGATAATCGTCTACTGATAATGGTACAGATACTGATAATGATACAAATATGGATAGTTTTTCATAGATACAAATACGAAACTAAAGCTTCTAACATGTACAAATAATAATATAATAATACGGATATCTGAAAATTATTACTATGGGATATTTGCCAAAGCATGAAGCATTCCTCTTCCTTCTTTTACTTTCACCCCACCTCTTGATATTTTAATTGTAGCCGAGCTCACTAACACTAGTCCATGTTATTAATATTGATATTATTTAAACTTGTAAATATCTCTACAAATTATACTACTCCATCATAAATTATAGTATATGTTATATGTATTATTTGTCCATCATAAATACATTTATACATTGTTTAGTCCATAATATGTGGATACCCTGACGGCATGACCGACCGAATTATCATCATTCCGAAGGTCATAATAAAATGCATGACTTGGTAGATAAGGCATTGATGAATTGATTATCATAAACCCAACGGTGGTAATAAATGTATATCACTTTGTAGATAAAAGCATTGTTGAATTGGTTACCCTAAATCCAAAGGTGACAATAAATGCACACCACATTGTAGATAAAGCACGGGCAACTCTACGGCATCAAGCAATCAGATCTCACAAGAAAAGTATGCATATACCTAAACCATCTTTTACCAAATTCTGACCAGTGACCACACTACACTAGCAAAAGATTCTAAAGAAGCCCTTTTCATATAGCATTCTCTAAGCTGTTTGCAGCAATATGTAGAATATACTAGCTGAATAAAGTTATAATGCCATCTCAGTGCAAAAAGAAGTGGAAGAGATCTGTGAACATGAAAAGTTATCACATAACTGGGTACGCCTGGAGAAAGTCGTTGTCCAGGGGAAGAAATAAACAGCTACTATCACAGGGCCCAGCAAAACACTATACATCCAAAAGCAAGATGCTTCCCAGTCTACCAGCAAAAGAAGCGAGCTTTCCAATCCAAAATAGAAAAATATTCTGAAGCTGTCTTTCTAGCACGCACAACATTCCACATTCCTGGTGTTAACCAACTATCATCATGTATGATGTATGCCATTTATGGGGACAGAGTTCTTGTCAAACTTGAATTGAAATTACAACCATTTCTGTCATAAAGATCTCTGTACAGCAATGTATTGATATCATAGTTTATATACTAAATTTGCAATTCAGGAGTGATCAAACCACGGTTATGCATTTCGAAAAATGGGTACTGAGTCCTTATCAAATGTTAACTGAAACTGAGACCTTTCCCCCTATCAAGATCTTTGTACAAAGATACATCAAATGGATAAATTTGTTAGTGTTGTACATAAATTGCCAAACTGCAATTATGCATTTTGCATTATGTGAACCTTAGTTCTTAAGATTTGAAACTGAAACCGTCACTTTTCCCCATCAAGATCTTTATAAACAAATCAATTCAACAGAAAAATTAGTGGTAGTGTACACAAATTAGTGGTGTACAAGATAAGGCAAGCAGCAGCAGAAAAGTAACACTACCTATTTCATCTAACCAACAAAATAAACTCACCGACCTTTCTTGCGGGACCTGAAACGGAACCCACCAGGAGGCGACGGTGAGAACTCCACTGGGAGATTCGGTGGTTCACCCTCACCAGAGAGCATTTCAAGCACCTCCTCACTTGATGGACGGCGACTTGGCGATCTCTGGATGCACAAGAGTGCAACAGTAATGCATCGCAGCGCCTGGTCACGGTTAACATCCCGCAGCGCAGGGTCTACAAGATCAAGCAAGCGGCCAACACGGGCAAGATGTCTTGCCCATGAAATAAGACTTGCCTTCTCAAACTCTGACATGGGTGAGGCCGTCACTTGGAGTGGGCGGCGTCCAGAAATAAGAACTAACAACAAAACGCCAAAGCTGTAAATGTCACATTTCTCTGATAGAGGTCCACCACCACCATATTCAGGTGCAACATAGCAGACTGTGCCACGCATGCTTGGTGTGCTGCTCACTGCTCCACCACTCTTGGGCACGAATTCCCCACTAGCCCAATCCCTGCTGCTCCTTCTCACACCGTCAATCCACCAATCAATGCTGCCATTGCCATTGCTGCTCCTACGACTCCAGCTTTTCATCATTCTCCACCTTGATCGTCCCTTCTCCTCTAAGTCACAGTCCCTCTCCCACCACTGCATGCTAGCCATTGGACCAATCTCACTCCTTGACTTAGCAAGTGCTCGCCTTTTTTGCTTCTTGGTTAGCTCATCAGCATACTCCTCACGCCACCATTCTCTCGCCCTGCGCTTTGTTTTCTTTCTCTCTGTTGAGGTGGCAGGGGTGGTTGCAGATGCTCCTGCAATCCAATCATTCTTCGGCCGCTCCTTCTTGATCTCCGACCTAATCCATTCCATCACATAGTCCTTGACACCACCAGAACCACCACCATTGTCCTGACGCCACCACCAGTCATTCCCAGCTCCTGATGCTGCAGCACCTCCACCATTGCAGCTTCGGCCATTCAATCCGCTACTGACACTAGTCTTATCACATCCTGAAGTGGATGCTGCCTCTGCAGGAGAAGCCATGGTAAACCCCTCATCATCTTCCGGTGACTTGGCAGCATTGTCTTCCCCATTGACAGCAACAGCAGTAGCATTTTCATCAGCAACAGACATGTCATCATCACATCCGCCACAAGGATTGCTACTCTCATTTCCATTGCCCTCAATTGCAGCACTCTCTAATTCATCCCTCTCCTCCGACTTTATCTGCGCGAGGCCAAAATCTGAGAGGCGAGCACGGAGCTCACCATCCAGCAACACATTGCTGGGCTTCACGTCTCCATGGATCACTGGTGGTTGCGCGACGGAATGGAGGTAATGGAGCGCGGCGGCCACGTCACGCGCCACCGCGAGCCGCCGCGGCCACTCGGACACCAGCTCGGGGCACCTCTTCCCGAGCAGCGCGTCCTGCAGCGACCCGTTCGGCATGAGCTCGTACACGAGCATCATCCGGCGGCGCCGCGGCTGCGCGGAGAGCGAGTAGGCGAACGGCAGGAGGATGGACGGCGAGCCGTGGCCGTGGCCGCAGCCAAGGAGATGGGACGCCAGCGAGAGCTCGTTGTGGAACTCCCGCTCCCCCTGCAGCGATCCCGCGGCGTCCATCACCTTCACGGCCACGGCCTGCCCCGACCTCGGCAGCGCGCCGCGGAACACGGGGCCGAACCCGCCCTGCCCGAGCTTGCTCCCCGCCGCGAACCCCCCCGTCGCGCGCCTCAGCTGCTGGCACGACAGCCTCCGCAGCGCGGGCGCCGGCTGCGTCCTCGCCCCCACCCCCACCCCCACCCCCATCCTCGCCGCCGCACCACCACCCGCGCCCGCCCCACGCTTCCTCCCGCGCCGCAGCCACACGAACAGACCCAGACCCAACGCCACCAGCACCAGCGCTACCACCGCCGCCACCCCGGCGCCCACCGCCGAGCCCGCGGCGTGGCGCCGCGCGCCGTGAGACCCCCGCAGGCCGTCGACCACGGCCTTCTCCTCCGCAGCCGGCGGCGGGGAGGCCGCGGCGGCGAGCAGCCGCCGCGACGGCATCTCGGTCTCGGCCCTAACCTGAGAGGGAGATGCGGGAAAAGACAAGCAGAGGGGGAGTGAGGCGAAAAGCCAACTCACTTTTTCGCCATTTTTTTCCCTTTCTCCTCAGATGCGTCGTGTGTACTACCTGCCCACCACTGGCGTGCGGATCAGGGGAGGAGCCAGGAGGAGACAGCCCTACCCCACTGACCACCGGGGCCCACACGACACGGTGGCCCACCTGGCAGTGTTCTGATGACCTGATGTGATCCGTTATGTCGTTGGAGGGGGCGTATTTGTAGGCAGGATCGGATCGGATGGAGGGAGGGGGGGAGTGGGAGTTGAGAGCGAATTAAATGAAAAGGGAAAGAAAGGATAAGGGGGGTCAAAACGGGTCAACGTAGGTTTGGATATAGGTTACGGTCAAGAGCGACAACGATATGCTGCCGTGTGTATTTTCCTCTAAAATCACGATTTAATTTGCAGAGACATTACCACCCAAAATGTGCCTCTCAACTCTCAACTTTACAATCTTCAAACAATGTACTAGTAGTAGTGCTAGTACTAAAGTGCAAATAGCATGGATTAACTCAAAACACTTTTCTCTCCGTAGAGGATGTCTAGACAAGATGAACAGGACAATTGGAGAATGTCTAGACAAAATGAACAGGACAATTGGATGGATCATTTTAACAGCAGGTAATTATTGAAAGGCCTCTTCAAATTTGGACTTGGTTGGAGGGAAGTAGAAACCAAAGGTTAAGTTGTCATCTGGATTTTAGAAAAACAAAGATTGAATCCTCTGTGACGCTTCATATGTACTTTCTTTGTAAGTTTGAATTCATCCTTATGGTTTAAATTCATAGAGGATTTTAATTCATCTGGATTTTGTCCTCTATGACGCTTCATATGTACTTTCTTTGTCCTTATGGTTTAAATTCATTCTTATGGTTTGATTCTTTTTGGAACAATAGGAGTAATTTCTTTTTTCAAAGGTTTCACCATGCATGTACATCCACATACTCCGTATTCACCGCTCACGGGTACTTAGCCTAGTATATGTGAAGCAACTTATGAGGTACACAGCTAATCTCATGCGCTCGTGCATTCATGCAATCCGATCCTTTAAATCTCAGTCCAAGTGTTGGCATCCAAGTGAGGTAATTTTGTAGAAAAAGAAAATAAATCATATGCGTCCCACCTTGTACTTGTGTAGAGATACCCCTTGTGTACTAGTAACCAACCTCATATCTCTGTCTCTCCCACGAAGATGGTGACTCCAAGCTTCTTGGCAACAGAGATGACTACACCCACTGATTCGAATACAACGATCTAGGCTATAGAAGAGATGAGGAATAAAGACATATGTCTCTCACCTCTTACATTCGTGTGTTCCATTTTTCTCTAGTTCAGTCTTTTCAAAACATAATATAAAGTTAAAGCTCTACTTTTCTTCCAAAGATGTTGACATGTATTGAACCATTTCTTTGGAATTTCAAAGGATTATGAAAGCTCAAATCCTTTGTTTCAAATAACCAAATAGGAAAAAAAATCCTATAGACTTTAAATCCTACAAAATTCATCCACAATTTTTTTTCTTCAAAGAGGGCTTGAGTGTATCTCTCTCATTCGATTTCTGTGATTTACTTATGGTCTATTCAAATGTATTTTTTATATGTTTTGTAATTATCTATTTTTACAGTTATATTTCTATTTAAATCATATTATATTTGTTATTTCTTGTACATATCTTTTGGAACAGGACAAAGGATGAAGGATACCAAAGGTTAATTTTCCTAGGAATCATGACCTTTTGGGCTTAAATAATAGACCACTATGCTATTACTTTTGATTGGATACTTTGTTCAGATGAAGACAAACTATTTAGCTTTTAGTAGTATCTTGTTTTTTTAATGGAATACGCTCACCCTATGAACACATCTTTTTTTAATGGAATACACTCACCCTATAAACACATCCGAAAGACTGGATCGATAAGCGTCTCGCTGTCAACAGTTATGTCAAGAAATTCAACCAGTTGAGCTATACTCATTTCGGTTATTTTTGTTCTTTGAAATACAAACCTTGTTCGTAGCTGGTACTATGGAGCTTTTAGTTTGTTCACTAGCTATAATTGAAGTATATGAATTTCATATTTGGCACAGCTTCGGATCTAAAAATTTTTAGAGCTTTGGTATTTTTTTAGCTTGACAAATCAATGGATTTGAATCTATGCGCTGATAACACGTGGATGGATTATTTTGTTTTCATTTTAGATAAAATATATAATTTTAAACCACTATAATTTAGCATACAAATTTCAAATCCAGTGCGGACTATGAATCTGAAACCTGCCAAACAGTGTCAAATACTAAAAAAATACCACAATGATCCCTGTCACCTCTTCCACGCTTTCCACAACTTAATTAGGCGAGCTAACTCGATAGGGTAATGTTCGGTTGGTTATCACATTTTTGGCAGTCGCACTTTATTAGCCAAAAACTAAAATATATTCAAATGCTAATTAAACAGTTCTTTAAAACTCCAAAAGAAATTGTGATAGCAGTGCTGAAATTATTTTAGAGAAAAATGTGCAAAAAGGATTGCACACATTTGTATTAAATAACATGGTGAAATATTTCACACCACAAAGCTGAAAAATTGTAAAAGGACACCCTAAAAGACACTTGATGTTTGACATTCCACTCTATAAGTCATCTTATTATAAATGTCTATCCTTTACTTGGTTTTGGTTTTGTTGGAAAACATATTGATTTGGTTAATCACGTGCTCACACTGTGGTGGATTTTACAACAAAAACGAGTAGGAGATGGACATTTACAACAAAATAATTTATAAATGAAAAGTTAAACTTTAAGTGATTTCTAGGATGGTTTTGCAATTCTCCCTAAGTTTAAACTCGAGTAAAATACACCAACGATCCTTAAACTTGTCAGGAGGTTTCACTTAGGACCACGAACTTGCAAAGTGCACATCAAGGTCTCTAAACTTGGTTTCTTGTATCATCCCGGTCCAAAACCGCGTTTGACTGTCGTCTTGCCTACGTGGCACGCCACGTGGACAATGACATGGATTTTTTTTATTTTTTTCTCCTTCTTCCTTCTTTTTTCTCTTTCTTCCTTCTTTTTCCTCGGTGGTGAGAGGCGGCACGAGGGGAGGGGCTGTCACAATGGTGAAAAAAGAAGGAAGAGGGGAGAAAAAAATAAAAAAAAATTCCATGTCATCGTTCACGTGGCGTGCCACGTAGACAAGACCACGGTCAAACGCATTTTTAGACCGGGATGATACAATAAACCAAGTTTAGAGATCTTGATATGTGCTTTGCAAGTTCGTGGACCTAAGTGAAACTTCCCGACAAGTTTAAGTACCGCTGGTGCATTTTACACTTTAAACTCCATCGACACGTTGAAAAAGAAAATTAAGCTGCAATAATGCCTGCTATATTCAGCTCAGCCTCTAATGAACATGGGCCGTGACCCATGAGACCATTGGCCCAAGTAGTCGGTAATACTGGACACCGTCACAAATCCTTCAGCTTCCAGCTTGGAGAGTTTTTACAGTCCTTGAAGAAAGGAGGTACCAAATCCAAGTCGTCCATTACGCACCATCCAACGGTTGCAAAGGCTTGGTACCTCGCGGTACCGCGTCTCTAGGAAAGCAGGTACCGAGTAATTTTCAACGGTGGAAGGGCAGAGTAGTACTTTCGCATATGAATTGGAGGGGAACATCGCACTGCTTGCTATCGTCGCCACAAATCGAGCAACCCGATGCGGCAGTCGGCCTCCCGGCGGCGGTGACCACGGGGGAGGTGGTCCTATATGGGGATGCGGGCAGAGTACTACCCTATCTCCTCCCTCGTCCTCAGCGCTAGTACAGCGGAGGCGGCGGCCATGGGAGTGGACGACGGTGGCGGAGACCTCTCGGATGGTGGCCGTTGTTCCTCATTGTGCTAAGAGGCCGATGCAGACCGAGGCACCGAGCTGAGCTTCGCCGCCGCAGCAACTGTTGCAGTTGTGCATGGAAGAGGAGGTGGACGCTGCCCCTGCATCATGGTATGAAGCCAAGGCCACCAGCAGGCAGCAGCTACGCGTCCAGGGCAAGACGATGGAGCCATAGTTTTTTTTTTAAGACTGGTGATGGAGCCATGGGTGAAAACAACGTTCTGAATAATTGAAATTTCTAGTTGATAGATAAATTGGCTTATTGAACAGGAAACATGCATACATACTATATCTATATCAATATCAAGAACTTCAGATGTTGGGTTTCTCTCATCCAGATTTTTCAACAAGGATGAACACTTAGGCAGATTTGCCCAGGTTAAATTCATTGGTGAAGTTATTGTGGAAACAGAACATCACGGAGCTGCAAAGAAGGAGCTCCAAGCACCAGCCAGCTCGAGTGCACCGACGGACAGAGGTTGAAGAATCGGAGCGAGCTCGACGGGCCGGCGGACAAGCTTGATGATTTAGAGCGATCTCGAGGGCGGTGAATTGGAACGAGAACAGAGCGGGCGAGAGCTGGCGGCGAGGGCACAGGCATGAAGGTCACGAACCCTGCGGACATTCCCGGGGGTGGCCTCGATGCGACGGCGGCGGCGCGGCAGCCTAGATGTGCGACGGCGGCGCGGCGCAGATGGCCAGCACAAACGACGTGATGCGGCAGATGGAAGAGGGGAGAAGAGGGCGGCTCAGAGGATGTCGCTATTTTGTTAGCCCAATCATACCCCTGCTAAACAACAGTTAGATTAGATTGGTACCTTATGGTAACTCGTACCTCATGGTACGCTCTCCAGCTTGAGTTGAGACGCGCTAATCACTAGGTTTGATGCGTGAATAGCGTGCATTGCCCTGATGCACCCATGCGAAATTCACCGTTGTGCTCACGGTCACAGCCATCTCCACACCAATAGCACGTAGTGTAATTACACCTTTGCCCCTCTGCATCTCTCTCTCCCTCTCGTTGCAGTACTTCACTATTAGCACGCGAAAAACTCGGCCCCAAATCAATGGAGCGTTAGCAGCAGATCAACAATTTGGAGAGAGATTTGGCGTCAATTTGATCCAAAAAATTGTTGCACGACAAGTGTTGTTTGATCTTCTAATCTTCTCCTTTTCAAATTCTCTATTTTTTTTCGTTGGGAGGGGGGAAGGAGGAGAGGAGAAATGGGGTTCATATCGGGGGTGGTGATGGGAATGATCATCGGCGTCGCCCTCATCGCCGGCTGGTCGCGCGCGATGGCTCGCCGCGCCGCCAAACGCAGTGCCAAGGCAAATCCACAACCACATGACAGATCTCATAAATTCATCGCATGTGATGCACGCCTTGATTTCGAGTCATCAGTCATAGAAAGTTTTTGTTTTTGACGAGTTTGCATCTGTTGTTCTTGACATCTGTTACGACTCATGCATGAATGGCAGTGTTAAGGGTTTCGTGAAAGGCTGAAGAAAATTTTTTGGATATATCTGCTTTGAATGTGTTGAATCGTCTGAAAGATTCAGGCTTAAGAACGTTATTCATTGTTTCCTTTTAGAAATGATTTTTATGATCGTTTGTGTTATGTACATGTTTTGCAAGAGGGACTTACCTCATTGTAAATTTAACTCTGACTTAGTTTTCTGGGGATGATGACTGATGCAGTGGAGTATATTCATATTGGGAATTCTATGTTTAGTTGAATTTGTATACTGTTGATATAAAATGGTGATGATAAGTGAGACGTTATTTGGTGCAAACAGATTGGTTTGTGGCTAACTTTTTTTTTTTTAAAAAAAATTCTGTATCAGGCTGCAGATGTCAATGCACTTGCATCTCTCGACCGCGAAGACGTGAAGAAAATATGTGGAGAAAATCTCCCAGAATGGGTGTCATTCCCAGAGTATGAACAGGTGCAATGATACTCTTTTGGTGTGCCTATTTATCATCATAGCATCTTTAATATTCAGAAAACTGAGACCAACATCCTAGGCATACGATTGTTCATCATAGTATTCAATGGCATGCTTAAGTTCATCCATGTTTTGAGTATATTTTGCTTTGTTATTCAGGTTAAATGGCTCAACAAACAATTGAGCAAGCTTTGGCCTTTTGTTGAAGAGGTACATACAAATAACTTCAATTTGTTTCTTATAGAGAACTTTAGGAGAGAATCACATAGGCTTCAAATGAAGTTCCATTTCAAGCCACAGAAGTAACTTCTGATCATCTTGCTGTTAACACCGCCTCTGATTTGCAGTTACATTTGGTTACAGGCAGCAACTATGGTCATCAGGGATTCGGTGGAGCCTATACTTGATGATTACAGGCCGGCAGGGATATCCTCACTGAAGTTCAGCAAACTCTCCCTGGGGACTGTTCCTCCGAAAATTGAAGGTTTCAGAGAAAAAGTTTGGCGTCAGTCTTACCGCATTTTATTCTCCTCCAAGGATGACATCTTGATCTGTTTGCTTCTGTTTTGTTCAGGCATTCGGATTCAGAGCTTCAAGAAAGGGCAAATTACAATGGACGTCGACTTTCGTTGGGGCGGGGATCCTAATATTGTCCTTGCAGTTGACACTCTAGTTGCTTCACTTCCCATTCAGGTATTCAAATCGCAACCGCTAGCCATGATTTGTAAAACCTACTGGTCACATTAGTAATTCATGTTCTTGTTTTTCTAGTGGTACTGTACTATTACTTCAGTTAAACATGTTAGTAACATTTGGCATGTTTGTTCTGTATGCATACAGTTCAAGAACCTTCAGGTTTACACCATCATCCGTGTCGTCTTCCAATTGTGTGATGAAATACCTTGCATCTCTGCTGTTGTTGTTGCTCTTCTGGCAGAGGTGAGCTTCTTATAATCATTCTAACCAGCTGATCCTGCCATGCACACTTGCATGGTAAGAAGTGGTTTCGTGATCTGTTTGATTTGACAAATGAATTTTCTGTCTTTGGCAGCCAAAACCAAGGATCGACTACATACTGAAGGCTGTCGGAGGAAGCCTGACAGCAATGCCTGGTCTTTCAGATATGATCGACGTATGTCATCTGATGCATTTACCTGCATTGTCAAATAGTAGAAATTTAACTGTTTATGTCTGGAGAAATGTGATGTTTTTTTCATTTGCCTTGTGTAGGACACCGTGGCATCTTTGATCGCTGACATGCTCCAATGGCCACACAGAATCGTCGTCCCACTGGGCGGAGTCGACGTCGACGTAAGGTTCGCATGATCTGCCCAATTTTGCAGTGTTTTTAGAGCTCAACTGAATTTGTCACAGGAAATTTTCTTCCAAAAAAGAAAATAAAAGCCTTTGTTTGAACCTAGTTTGTTGATCTGTCTGCCGTTCGAGCTCTTCTGCAGTGACCTTGAGCTGAAGCCGCATGGGAAGCTGACGGTGACCGTGGTGCGCGCGGAGTCGCTCAAGAACAAGGAGCTGATCGGCAAGTCCGACCCGTACGTGGTGCTGTACATCCGCCCAATGTTCAAGGAGAAGACCAGCGTCATCGACGACAACCTCAACCCCGAGTGGAACGAGACGTTCTCGCTCATCGCCGAGGACAAGGAGACGCAGCATCTGATCCTTCAGGTGCATTTCCCCAGCTCAAGCTTTGATCGAACACATGGAGAATTTAGTTTCTTTTTGGGGGGTCTGAAATTGTTCTGCTCTGCAGGTGTTCGACGAGGACAAGCTGAAGCAAGACAAGAGGCTGGGCATAGCCAAGCTGCCCCTGAACGACCTGGAGATGGAGTCCGTGCAGGAGATCAACCTGCAGCTGCTGTCGTCGCTGGACACGACCAAGGTCAAGGACAAGAAGGACAGGGGCGTGCTCACCATCAAGGTGAGCTCATGTCCACACGGCGGCGCGTCTTGGGTTCTTGGGACAAGAGACGCGAAGGTGTTCGACGCTGACCGTCGTGATAATACGCAGGTGCTGTACCACCCGTTCACCAAGGCGGAGGCGCTCGAGGCGCTGGAGCTGGAGAAGAAGACGGTGGAGGAGCGGCGGAAGACCAAGGAGGAGACGGCGGCCGTCAGCGGCGCCGCGGACGCGGCGAGCGGCGTGACGTCCACGGTGACCCCCGCGGCTGGGGCGGGCGTCGCTGCGGGAGCCGCCGCGCCCGGAGCGGGCGCCACCGCCGCCGGCTCCGGCGTGGGGCTGGTCGGCACGGGCATCGGCGCCGTGGGCAGCGGCATCGGAGCGTTCGGCACCGGCCTCAGCAAGGCTGGCAAGTTCGTCGGCCGGACCGTCACTGGCCCGTTCAGCAGCGCCAGGCGCAGCGCCAGCAGCGTGCCCACCATTGACGAATAAATTTCCCGAAATTGGGAGCTTAGTACATCACTAGTGATAGGCATTGGTTTCCCATAATCAACGATAATCTTTGGCTTGCGTTGCATGGATGTTACAACTTACAACAAGGTTTATCAGTGTAGTGTTTTCTTTTCTTTGGTCTTGCATGGATGACAATGTTACCGCAAGAGTTTTATCATGTAGATATTTTCTTTCCGTTCGTATTATATATTGATTATGAAAAACAGGGCTGATTTGAGCATGAGATTAGGCATGAAACTAGGGGAAATACTCATACATGTTTCATTGATTTCAGACTACTGAATCAATAATATATAAACGGGCCAGCTTAACAAAATTGCTCATTGCCTTTACCGTTCACAAATAACAGGTAGAAAATTCTACAAACCTCCAGACAAATTCCAAGTTCCTACAATTCTACAAACCTTTTAAAGAATGTAGGCCGCACTCTTTATTGACAATAAAAGAACCCAATGGAATATTAACATTTGATACAATGTTTATTTATGTGCAGAAAACTAATTGCCCAAATGGCAACCCGAGTGCAGAATTTACTTATTATTTATTAGCCTTACACCAAAATAAGGGTGATGCCACCCGATGTGCCAACGGCCACCCAAAAAATCATCTTGCCACGAATCATTCGTAGCAAAGCAAAAAATGATGCTGCTAGTCCCTTTCCTGATGAAGGAACAAACTGGAGGTTTATGATTCTTCCGTGATAAATACTTGACGCTTTGAGAAAAAAGGACGCCCCAAGAAATTACACGCTACAATAGATGCAATAATTGCGCAAACTCAGTCTTCCTCTTCACTGATCAGTGCGAAAGAGAAGGGCGCAAACTTGTATCCATCGCCCTCATAGAATTTGTTCTGGAACTCCACCCAATGTAGCCTTAAGGCGTGAAGGAATGCACTTAGGGTCTCCATAACAAGCAAGACACCAACTGTCGCACAGATGAAGATGGTAATGCCAGCGATGCGGATAAGAATGTTGTTGTACCTACAAGAAGGCACATAAAAATGAGCTCCAGATAGCGGCTACATAGATAGGGAGAAAAGGAGAGGAGGCGGAGAGGGAGGCTTCTTAGTTCTTACCCGAAAGCTAGGAGGAGAACCTTGTCATAGAATACACTTGACAACTCCGAGTGTGCAAGACTGTATAAAGAATACAATTTAATCGATTATTAGTGGCTAACAAGGAGTGCATTGTTATAGATCAAAAGTGGGATGATGAGGGAGTAAGGCTGTTCAAAGTAATGCGGTGATGCTGAATGTCTAGAAGTACCTGAGAGCCCAGAGACGAAGATATGAGGCTGTATTTGAGACTGCCCCAAGAACAAACTCAATTGTGTGGATCAACTGGTGAACAAAAACTTCACTGAACTCGAACTCCTCATGGTGGTTCGAGCCATTATGATGTCCCATCTCCGCTACCACTGAGTCATCTGTGCTCTGAAGCATTGCATATTGTTGTCCTTGATGCCTCTGATAGAATCAAACAGAAGTATTGTCAGCACATTAGTAATTCAACACGTAAACAGCAATAGAATTTGAAATATCATATACAACTTACTCGCTCATGCTCCATCTTCAAGAAAAATGGCTTTGGGATCAGCATCCAGGGAACAGACACCAGAGCAAGCAGAAGTAAAACAAGCTGCATAAGAAATGGAGAAAATTTTAGTATTTATCCACAAGTTCATGTCATAGTCTGCAATTCTGCATAACAATAACGAATACGGACCTGCACTGTTTTCTGTCCAGGAAATAATTGGTTCTCCCCAAGTTCATCTGTTGGACTGAGGAACATATATATCATAGTATGGTACAGATCTGCTTTTGCCCCCGTGCTCCACTTGATAATGATGAGCATGGATAAGTAACCAAATAAGCTGTTCAAGAAGATCAGCTGGGGGATGAACTGGTACCTGTTACAAAAGCATACAGCAGCAATAGAGAATAATCTGGTCATAATCTCATCTCAAAGTAGAGTGTTACATAAAAGGGCATTCAACACGAGACAATAAACTTACCACACATTAACACTGTTCCTGAAGAATTTCGCATTAAAGTAACTAATCACAATTCCAAGGTTCATTTGTGCAACTCCAAGAAGAATTGACATCTTCATCTTCAGTGAGTTGAGAAACGGCAACTCGCTGCGGCTGCCATGCCATACAGGGTCCACACCAAAAGGGTATGTCCGTCTTACCTTGAGTAATCCTTCTGTTGCAGCATCTCTAAATCCACAAGACAAACAATAAGTAGGCATAAATATTCTTTTTTAAAGGGATAAAAACGTGGTTTTGTTTGAAACTTTTTCTTACCCACAAGAAGGATCACGGCATGCATAAGCAGATTTACCAAAAAGCTCAAATGGAACAGAGAAAAATTCATTGTATATTAATCCTGTATAGATTGAAAAGAGTGCCATCATTATAATTACATAGCGCCCACCAAACATCATCTCCATTATGTCTCCAAGTTTCTGCAATAAGAAACAGACATCAGATACAGCTTTATCACATATGTAAATTTTTGGGGCTTTCAGAATATAAATACTTGCTCTAAACTCTTTGGGATCACTACTACATATTCCAAAGAACAAAGTCCTCAAAATGATTGTCAACACAATAGTAAAATGATGACCAGTATGCAAACCTGTGAAGCAAATTTCTTCTCTCGGATTATCAGATAGAGTGTCGAAACCAATATGCAAATTCCATGTCCCCAATCTCCAAACATGACAGCAAATAAGAAAGGAAAAGTGACAATAGTGAATACACCAGGGTTTGCTTCTTGATATTTGGCTATCCTGTATCAGATGTAATACAAAGTTAGCAGTTCCTAACTAAACCATTTGGCCCAAACAAACAGCAAGCTCTTTATTGATTTTTCAGGAGTCAATGCTAATTTTATTCAGATAAAATAATATATTTCCCATAAGCACAAAAATTCTGGAAATTCCTATTGCAAGTTTAAGTGCTTCTTTGACAATATGAACACAATGATTTCAACGTGGTAGACATGTCCACAAAAGGGAAACAAAAAAGGAAATGTTTCACTTAGAATGCACAATTGAGGAGCAAATAACAGGGAATGATGGCATGTCTTTGCCTATTGAAGAGGAACAGTGAATTATGGCAATTTTCCTTTCTTTTCTTTAAGCGAACCAAAAGTTTGTCGATTTCACATGAAAATAGTGAGTCCAGCAAAAGAATGGTGAAAAGAGCATCATTTCTGAGATGAAACCAAAAGCGGGGGGACAATAATAGAAGTCTCATATCCCATGGTGCTATAAACAACTTGGAACAACCCACAAGAAAATATATTATTTTCAGTTCCAAAGCCAAAAGAGAAACCAAAAGTAGCATCTCAGAGCCCTCTGAAACATACCCGTATGCATCAACAATTTCCTGGAAAGCCGAAGTGAACTTATTTGTCTGGAAATATGTCGGGGGAGATTCTGTTGTGTTGAGAACTTGAAAAATTGAACCAACTTGGGATTTGCTATCAAGAGTAGCTCGCTGGAGCGCATCTTGGATCTGCAAAATAAAGTTGTAAATCATTGAGATCACATGAAGAATAATCTCCCAAATAAACAAATGGAAACAGTAGGCTAATAAATTGTTAGCACCAGGGTGGTGTATCAATTACCTGAGTTGTTGCAAAAACTGGACTCCAGCCCTCACCAACTAAGCATTTCTTTGTCACATCAACACTCAACATGTTCAAAGTGTGGTAAATTATTTTTTCCTTATTTGCCTGGAGCATTTGTATGCTAATTAGTATCATATATATAGAACTGAAATAATGACCTGACTGGTGGATTTCGGAATTTTCTAACATATGGAATTTATCACATAAGAGGATAGCTTACCAGACGGTTCCAATTCTCAAACTCAGACGCGATATTTTTCAATATATTGTCACGATGTGCTAATCCCATGTCAATTGTTGCCTTTAACTCTGATATCTTTGCAGATACCTGTAAATTCATAAGCATAGACTTTATATGTTTATTGACTGAAATTCATAGTAGTACAACTGCAAAACAAGTTTCTCCCAATGACATATCTCCTTATGGTGCAAACAAGATGCAATAGCAGCAAATCATTTTCATTAGTCACCAACAGCAAAAGTAATGATTGGAAGGCACAGAACAAAGTCTAGCTATTATAAATCTATAATAATTAATTAACATTTTTCAAATTCGAAATTGAAATGACAGCAGTGACATCAGAATAGGGATGGTAACATTGGACATATCACAAGCAAAGCACAAGAATGTCCATAAAGGGCAACTCGTGCAGATGATTCTCTCAACGGTTGGCATCCTCACTACCTTCTGAAAGCAATTCAGGACTATATCTAAATTTCGAAATACTAGAAAGAATTTCATCAAAGAATATTAACAAATCACATTTCCAAGACCTGACCTCCTGAACAGCATGTAATTGTCTAGCAACATCTTCTGGAAATGGGTAGCGATTTGCGTTGAACGCATCACATATCTTCAGAATTTTGGCTTTTGCTCTATCCCCAGAGTAGAAAATAACAAATGCATTTTTGGCAACCTGTGTTATCATACAAAGAATGAAGACTTAGAGTTGGAACAAATAATAAAATAACTTCATGACTAGACAGGAAGTAAGATATATAAAAAATAACTTCATCACTCATAGAACAAAGTTCTTTTTATCAGGGCGCAAATGAACCGAGATGTATAATCCAAATACCAAGATTACTTTGAAAGGACAACATGGTGGAATATACAAAGAACAAAAAATGCACTGTAAACGTCAGAAAATATAACAGCAACCTTTTCTCCAGAGACTGGGTCAGTGACAGGTTCATCAACAGACTCTTGTCTGAGGAAAATGTTTCCCCTCGTGGCACGGAATAAGATGCGTTCAAAAGCCATTGCCTTTTCCTTTGGTACAAGACCACTCAATGATCCAAGCTTCACTTGTTTTGATGCATCTGTTAACGTATCCTAAAAGGGTAACCAAGATCATATCAGAGAGGCAAACAGAAAACAAAAAAAAAAGGTGGGGGTTGCAATTACACACGTATATGCATGTATGGTCCATGTACTATCCTGTAAATCCAAAGTGCTCTGAGATTTGTGAATGATTAAAGTTATTACTACAATATGGGATGTTGTGTGTTTAAAATTTGAAAGTCAACATCAATCTTGAGGCACATCATGGCAATGGTACTACATGAATGTCCATGTACAGGGAGGAGCAGTATGATAGTTTTACCTGCTCCAGCAGAGGGCTCTCCAGTGAACTCTCACCAGATTGATTTGCCTCCATTTCTCTCTGTTGCGCCGCAGCACTTCTTTGAGCCGAATAGAAAAATTCACCAGCCTGAAAATGAAAGAAAATAATAATAAATAAAGAGT